TTCTGATAATACTGAGGGGTTAAATAATAATTGCACACCTTCTCCTGTTGTCTAAAACCAAGGACCTGTATAGTTACATATGGCACGCCAAATTCACAAAAATGAGATAAACCTATAGTTTACAAACCGTGAACTATAGTTAACAATTCGTTAACTATAGTTTTCATCTGTGAAACTATATTTAACGGTTGTTAATCATAGTTTACGAATGATAATCTAAGTTTATCTGTCTGTAATAAAACGTTAACAATAGATTTTGTTGATAAACATAGATTCACGTCTGTAAACTATAATTTACGATCGTTAACTATAGTTAAGAGTTGTAAACCATAGTGCACAAATCGTGAAACTGTATTTATCAGATAATCTATGTTTTGCGATCGCAAATTATTGTTTTCGGTGTTAAGTATAGTTTACGGTTGTGAAACATAGATTATCGCGTTAACTATGGTTTACAAATGTTAAATATAGATTAACGTTGTTAACTATAGTTTACAGTCCGTAAACTATAGTTTACAACCGATAATAATAATAATAATAATAATAATATAATAATAATACTTTATTTTAAGAGGGTGACCCGATTAGTGCAATGCACTAGTCTTCCTCGGGGCCCTCTAAGCATGTTCACAATAATACAATAATGAAATCATTGTACAATAATAAATAATACAACATGACGTAAAAATACAAGTACATATAGATTTCAGGAGATTTTAGTTGCGGCATGTTATTATGAATTTTTCTACATTTTTACGAAATGTGTGTAAATTCTGTGAAAAACGTATGTACAAAGGTAGTTTGTTCCATAAATGAACACCGGAATAATGAAAAGAATTTTTAAATTGATTTGTTCGATATTTCGGTAGATGAAGGTCATAGTTTGTTTCAGATCGTAGAGCATAACTACTAGAAGAAATAAATTCAAAAGAGTCTCTTAAATAAGTAGGTGCCATACCATGAAGTGTTTTGTACAGTAATATATATTTATGAAAATCAATCAACTCGTAAATAGTCAGCCATCCAAGTTTTTCGAATAATGGTAGTGAAGGGGCATCATAAGCCACATCTAGTATAATACGGGCTGCCCTTTTTTGCAATTTAAAAACTCTATCTATGCCAGCACCTGGCGCATTACCCCAAATAGTTAGGCAATAATTCAAAGAGGGCAGAATGTATGCATTATAGAATAGTTTTCTTGTGTGTAAGGGGAGGAATTTTTTAATTTTGCGCAACGTATATAATTTATATGTCAAAGATTTACAAACTGAGTCAATATGGTGATTATAGCGCAATGAACCATCAATATGCACTCCCAGAAGTTTTTCAGATTCAACATTTTCAATTAATTTGTTTGAAGCATATAAATTTAGTTCAGGTGAATCTATTCTTGATTTTCTCTGCTGAGTTCCCATAAGCATACATTTTGTCTTATTGGTATTTAACACCATTTGATTTTTGGAACACCAATTTTCAATCTCACACAAATCAAAGTTAAGGGCATTCTCAATACCTTCTATATTTTTATGATATGTATGCAAGGTTGCATCATCGGCAAACATATCAATATCTGTTCTATTTACATGTAAAGGGAGATCATTTATATACAATAAAAATAATAGGGGACCTAAGATAGAACCTTGGGGCACTCCTGCTGTGACGGGCAAAAAATCAGAGGAATATGTTCCTATTTTTACACACTGAGACCTTGAGGTTAAATAAGAATGAAACCATTTAATAGCCCTTTGATCAAAGTGATATGATTGAAGTTTACTTATAAGAATTTCATGATTAACCAAATCAAATGCCTTGCTAAAATCGATGAAAGTTATGCCTACTAGATTTCCTTGGTCCATAGCTTGTAGCCAATTATCTGTAAGTTTTGTAAGAGCCGTTTGACATGAATGAAATTCTCGAAATCCAGATTGTGATTTAAATAAAAGATCAAAGTTAGAGGCAAAGTTACGTATTTGATTTGCTATGTGTTTTTCAACTAATTTTGATAATGTTGGAAGAATGGATATCGGTCTGTAGTTCCCTGGATCTGCGTGGTCGCCATTTTTGAAAATAGGAGTGACTTTTGCTTGTTTTAAACTGGATGGAAATACTCCATTAGTGATACTAGCATTTATAAGATGTGTAATAGATTTGCATATGACATTTGCCGAAAGTTTTAGAAGACGAGGTCCGATAAAGTCTATACCGGCTGACTTATTTACATCAAGTGTATTCAACATATTCAATACTTCAAATTCAGTTATTTCATTAATACTGAAAACATTTTCTTTCCCTAGTTTAGTTTCTGTATACCGATTTAATAATTCTGAATCAAAACTTTGTACTGACATATCTGCTAATAATTTACAGGATATTTCCGTAAAGTGTTTGTTAAAAATATCAACAATATCCTGTAAATCTTCAAAATCTAAACCATTTTGTGTAATACGGCTAGGTGTAAAAGTTTTGGATTTAGATGCCAAATGGTTTAAATAACTCCACATTTCTTTAGGACTTGAGCTTTCTTCAATTGCAGATTTGTAATACTTTGATTTTGCTTGATCTATTAATTGTGTAACTTTATTTCTCCAAATTTTGTAATTTTCTGAATTCCTTTGTAAATGATATGTATCGCGTAAATGTCTGGCATCATTTATTTCCTGTGTTAGCCATTTAGGTCGAATTTCAGTCTTGACTCTTTTTGTTTTTACTTTGGCATGCCTGTTAAGAATATCATTAAACAATTCATAAAATTTATTCATTATTTCGTTTGGGTCTTTAAGTTTAAGAAGAGTGTTAAAATTTGCATTTTCTAACTCTCTCAAAAACTCGTTTTCGTTGAATTGTTTAAAATCTCGATATTGGATTTCAGTATGTTTTCCTCTACGCTGTATACAATTAGTTTTCCGTGTCAAACATACAGGGTAGTGGTCAGAAATAGCAATAGGGGGCACATTTGTTTCACATATGTTTTCTGGTTTAGTTGTATAAAAATGATCAATTAAGGTACTTGAGGTACTTGTTATTCTAGTAGGAACAGTAACTATCTGAGAAAGTCCAAACTCTTCTAAAGCAGATGTCCAATATTGTGGGGGGTCTTTCATTAGATCAATATTAAAATCACCTGATAGAATAATTTCAGTATCGTCACAGCAGGAGGCACGGTTCACCTCCTTTGCTAGGTCCTCCGCCCAGCAGGAGGGGGCAGATGGTGGACGATAAGCAGAGCAATAAAATATAGGTTTAGAATTTTTTAGATTAATTTCTAGCCAGATTGTCTCAATATTACTGATCTCAAAATCAGTCCTACGTTTATATGTGATATCACTTGAAATATAAATAAGAATTCCACCACCTGCCCTTAATGTACGGTCTTTTCTTTCAAAAACAAACCCATCAATAAACAGTTCTGAATTTCCTACTTGCTCACTCAAAAAAGTTTCACACAATCCTAAAATATCTAAAGATTGCCGTGTTTGAAGCAACAGTTTAATTTCATCTATTTTAGGAATAATATGACAAATATTTAAATTTCCGAAACGTAAACCTTTCTTAATCAATCCAAATCTTGAATCTTTTTGTATTTGTGAAGTATGAATTTGGTTATTGGTCATAGGAGCTTGATGTTTTGTTTGTGAAACAGATTTGAATGAGTTTATCGATTGTGAAACTGATTAGCTCATTTTTGTGAATTTGGCGTGCCATAACTACCTGCTAAAACTATGTACACGTATATCACGTGAAAAAAAACTCAGTGTTTTAACGACACGATAGCACCCACGTCTCTTTGAACAATGGTTGACTAGGCCGATGTATCATAAGTTGATATAAGGCTTCATAAAGCAAATTTTGTAAATGTGAGCATAGAAATGAAAGATTATACATCATTTTAAATATTTCTTTCACAAATCTTCAAAAAAGAATTGAAAATAAGTTTCCAAGGGACAATTCAAGTTGTCCTTCATCTTCAACACAGCTGGGTACTTGTAGTGGCCCACAATGCATTGCAGCTCATTCAGCAGTAGGTAATGTAAACAGCAGTAGGTAAAGTAAACAGATAGCTAATTTACATGCAAATTTATGCTGATGTCAGAAAATCTAGTGGTCTCGACCTGTTAAATGTAAAAATACTTGTTTCTCTGACTAGCCTTTACGGGTTTCTGTAGGAAAGCTTGATTTTTCAAAATCTTTTTTGTTGATTTTCTTACATAGGGAGTCTGATATATAGCACAATCAAACTACCTATATTTCACATATAAGATGTGTCTTGCGCTTGAATGAGTACATATTAATTACTTTGCTGTAATATAGACACAGAAATTTAAAAATTAAATTATAGGTAGTTTTCAGTAGACCTAAATTAACAAGAGTTATTTCCCGTTGGCCGCCATATTGGGGGTCAACATGCTCATATTCCTTCATTTTTCAACCAACTATAACTTTTTATACTGGCAATTGTGGTGTGGGAAGCATTGTTTTTCTTAAAAATATACATTTGTTAGAGCCTCCTTTATTTCATAATTTTTATTCCATAAAAATTTTCCCTCAAATATTTTTGCTACACTCTCTTATATTTGGTAGGACAAAGAGGGAAAATTACCAGGTTGACCACCAAAATGGCGTCCAATGGGAAATAACTCTTGTTTAATTGGGTCTACTGAAAACTATCTATTGGTATACATACACAAAGTAATTTTTTACAAAACGACGCGTTTCAGTATTATAAAACTGATACGACAAAGCAGCCTAAAACTTACATCCAATACCTGAAAAAAAAGAGCCCTTCATCTTTACAAGATAGCACGTTTGAATTTATTGAGTTCACAGAGATGATAAATATTCATTATTGAAATAAAGCATTGATAGGTAAATTAATACACCCATGCCAGAAAGTAACAAATCCTATTTCTTGAAAAATTGTCATGCAATTTTCATTCTTTAACGTCAGAGAAATTGACAACAAATGTGTATCTTTCTCAGGAAAAAAAATTCTAGCTTTACTTTTAATTAATTTTCCATCCAGAGAATGAGGTTTTACCATAACTGTCGCTATAGATATTCCCCGAGCTAGAATCTGAAGTTTTTACAAAAACGTCATCTCCCTTATTTACATGGGCCACCACACAACCCGTGGACTGGGGGAAACTGTTTGTAAGAGTGTGACTGTGAGTCATTCCCCACTCCTCTGAATTTATCATTAGCTGCGTGGAGTGAATTCCACCATTGCCATTTCTAAAAGTCCATATAAATACGTAGACCCCTGCCTCTGGAGCTATAAATACCCCAGTGGAAGGATGATGTCCGTTACCAATATTGGTTCTCACGTGGTCAAAAATAAGCACGTGATGAGGAGTTGCTACATTACTGGGTAGGTTAGCAGACATGTACGCGTAGAAGGCAACCAGTGCACCAGGTACTTCCGGGATTAGCAATCTTTCTGCGAAAAATAATAACATTTCTATATCGTTCATTTCAACAAAACTAGATATATCTAATCAACCAGATAAATGAAACATCAGAAGTTATTTAATTCTAAAACCTACTTTTTACACTCTGATCACGTATTTGTTTATAAAAATTAATTCTTAATGAACAAATATGTCTTAAACTGGTACCTCTTCTTCCATATGCGTTATGTTTTCTGGATTTGATACTCGGTGACTTTTTATTTTCTAAATCATTTAGTTCATCATTTATGGGGAATGCATCAGTCACAATAATTTCTCTAGTTAGTACATCACTGCTATTCACTCTTTCTTCTTCCAAAAGCATATGACCGTCTGACGGCTCTGGTTTGGAACTATCTGCAGGAAAATCATGCTGCAAAGTGGAAATTATTTTCTCTTGTTCGACTGTTTTCTTCTCTAGGCTTTGAATGCGGTTTTCCTGATATCGGAGAGTTATTTTAAAATCATTCTGGAGTTTTGAAATTCGTGTCACATAGTCCTTATGAAAAGCCGTAAGAATAGTTTTTAGCTGTTGGGTTGTAACTGTCTGTCCGTCCGAAAGATTCAAAATATCGAAGACTGGATCTTCTTGAAAAATGTCTTGGTAACTCTGATTTAATTCCGATCCTAAGCAAATCAGAAATGGAAAGGAAAGAAGTTGTAAAATGCGAACTAACATTTTCTTTGGTGATTTAGCCCCCAAATCTTCTTATCTGATTGAGCGATTATTTTATACCATCGAGGTAGGTCACTTGGTAAAGAAAGACGCGTGCATATGTCAATGTCTTTGCTTACTTTGATGGCTTGAAATTTTAAACAATGGGAGAAAATCAATATTCTCTAATAGTGTACATTATATTGCGCTACTCTTACATCATTACATAAAACAACAATTTTAAAATCAAATTAAAACATAAATTGTTATAAGGAGTAAAATTATTAATTTGAAACTCAATACAACTTTAAAATAATGTTTGTTTGCCCTCTCCCGACTTACATGTACGATAAAAAAAAATCTGTGTCGATACATAGATGTAATTTTTCCATGAAAAAAAATTTAATACCAAATCTATTTTCCGGAATCTATCTTCACACCAATCAAGAAATTGTTACTCAAATTTATCACAAACGTACATGTAGAATTATAACTACATGTATATAGTTTTGTTTCTACTAACGCCTTTTTCTGATAAAATATCCAGGTATGAAACGTACTAGTATTTGTTAGACCCGTTTGTATTTTTCTATTTTGAGGATCAAATGGCTGTATCTAATCAAGTTCAGAATAATGTTAAATATTTGAGATTAATAAGACGTCGTCGACATATCTAAATATTCAATATCAAGCCACAGCAAGAGACTTCAAAGTAATTGCCGAACTATCCGGTATATATATTAAATACACAACATTTTTTGTAACAGGTTACACAATTAAGATTTCACTATGGCTTCATGGAATATATTTAGCAATAAAAATGCGCCATTTGAAAACGCTTCCCGAAAGGGTATTCGAAAATAAAAGATAAATGGGGGGGGGGTCAAAGATTTTTAAGAACCTATGACATTATATGAGGGTCGAATGACCTTAATGATAATCTTTTATTTCTAATTGATAAATCTGTCTCAATCAGAGCATCAAAGCCAAATTCAAACATCCATTTTTATGAATGAGATATTATGCAATTATTGCTGTGTTTTTAGGTCAATACAATGATTTAGTCATCTGAGGAGTACAATATTCACCGAGCCCGGAGGGCGAGGTGAATATTGCACTTCGAAGATGGCTAAATCATTGTATTAACCGAAAAACCAGCAATAATTGTTTTATTATATGATTCACTAATAAAATGATAAAATCCATCACTTGTTTGCATTTTATTAAGTCCTATCCAAATACAATTATAAGAGAAGCAGAATTAAAATGTTAATCAATCTTATAGGTCGTATTTATTTATTTTTTAAAATCAATTTTAGTTGCAATGAATTATGTCAGTCTTTTTTCTAGGATAGATTTTTAAAGGAAGAAGTATTATCAGGGAAAACCGACTGCCAAAAAGTAAAAATTGTTGTTCAATAAAAGTGTTGAAGTAGTGTCCCCTCTTACCACCCTCACCCGAAAATATATATTTGCTTATGTTTTCTTCACATGAACAAAAAGTCATAGTAGTTTAAATAGCTTTCCAAATCAATTTGTATCAATTTCGAAGATTCCGATCTATTTTTAGATCAAAGTAGAGGAAATAAATCCTTGTATTGACCTGGAACGTCACGTGCAGGTCAATACAACGTAGTATTTTTCTAACATAGTTGGATCTCAGCCAATCAGAGAGATGGAAATTATTCAATCATATAATAAATATCTATATTCCTAATCAATTTTGGCACTTTCACCTTTATGCACAAGTGTTTAAATTCTCATTGTTTTTCCTTTCTGATAGGTTATAAATTAGGAATAATCACTCACTACAAACATATTTCGCACACAATAAAGTGACATGAACTATGGAAATGGGAATTAGGGTTTGTGTGTAAAATAAAAATTTTAAGTAACGCACAGTTGGAAGAAATTTTCATAATCCTATTAATCTACATAAGTGTTTATATACATTCATATAAAGTGCAGACAAAATTAGGGATCGAAGTTTTATGCAAAGGACTGTTTAGTTTAAGGTGATTGTGAGGGTTATAGGTAAAACGGAACACAAGGTTATATTAAGTGGTTGCGTAAATTATCAAGTACTATAATATTTATAGCCTCATACACATTGAAAGTGTGATTTTCTGCGATAGATTGTAAATGTTCAATTTGAACTAATAGAAATTATTTTTCTTGCAATGTTATCTCAAACACTCTGCATGCATGTATAATGAACTAAATGCACGTCTCTGTCGAGTGACTTTACACCGAGTGTTAAACGTTCTACACTGTACACCTTCCACTACCGAAGGCTTACCGTTCATGTAATAAAAGTAATTTGGCAAAATTTAGAACTTAATTTCCTTTTCCAAGACACGATATAATTTTCTTGCAAGGACATACCTTTCAAAACCATTACACATTTGAAGAAAAAAACATTGTCTTGCTCTAAAGGATAAGAATAAATCAGAACATATTTATATTTACAGAATATTATACACATACATGTAAGTAATTTTTGCTGATTAATCAGTAATTAATTTAGCGAACTTTGGCAAATGTGTGATTCGTAAAAAGATAAAAGTCCTATCTTTTATTGTAATGAATCGTTAGCGATATTCGTTTTTAACAATCTTAACACCTTCACTAAAATGCCAAAATGTAATCCCCGCTAAAGTATCTGCTGTTACGTACATGTATAATGATTGATCTGTAAACAAAAATCTCTTCCGTTTTATTCTGATTATTTACTGCTTTTTTTTACTTTAATGCGCTTTTTTAAAAGTATAATCTGCAGAGACTTTGTTTAATGTATATACAGATATTTCTGTAATATGCCAAGTCTTATACAGGGTTTATATAATTATATCTTGCTGACCATTTAAAATTTTCACGTTTGAATATTACCGGTATTTCAAATGTACTAGTATTATGAAAAATATACATCTCTCTCTCTCTCTCTCTGTTTATCTCAAGCATTATTCAGAATTAGTATATACGTTTAGGAATCTAGGGGAAATTACACCTGCACTTTGTAAAGATAATATATATAGATATTATATTCACAATAAAGTTGCTTTGAAATATGAATTTTGTTTAATGCTTTGCACTTTTTTTTATTGGTAAGGAAAGCATGACTTTCAGAATCTTTTCCCTGCTTTTCTTATGTAAAAGTCTGATAAATAAATATTGCATAAACAAGGTGTGTTTTGCGTTTGAATGAGTACATATTTAAGACATTCCTGTAATTAAGACACAGAAAATCGAGGAAAAAATTACAATTGTTATATATAAAATTTAATAAACAAATTGAGGTTTTTCAGTATTGTGAAATTGATAGGACGAAGCAGCCTTAACTGTCCCCCAGCACCTTAAAAACTAAAATAAATAAAAAGAGCCCCGAATTTATAAATTAACTTGTGAAAAATTATTTCGATAACTGATATCATGAATACCCATTATCGAAATATAACATTGAAAAGTTATTTATACACCCATACCAGAAAGAACTGAATCCTATTTCTTGAAAAATTGTTATGCAATTTTCAATCTTAAATATCAGGGAAATTAACACCAAACACGGATCTTTCTCATGAAAACAAAACTATCTAGTTCTGCCTTTAAGCAATTTTCCATTCAGAGAATGAGGTTTTACCAAAACTATTGCTATAAATATTTCCCGAGCTTGAATCTGACGTTTTCACAAAGACGTCATCGCCTTTATTTACATGGGCCACCACACAACCCGTGGACTGGAGGCTACCGTGTGAAGGAGTGCGACCTTTTTATTTTTCCCCCACTCTTTTGAATTTATTATGAGCTGTGTAGAGTGAGCTCCACCATCGGCATTTCTAAAAGTCCATATAAATACGTAGACCCCTGTTTCGGGAGCTATAAATACCCCAGTGGAAGGATGATACCCGTTACCAATATTAGTTCTCACGTGGTCAAAAATAAGCACGTGATGAGGAGTTGCTACATTACTGGGTAGATCAGATGACATGTACGCGTAGAAAGCAACAACTGCTCCTTGAGTTTCTGGGATTAACAATCTTTCTGTAAAAGAAAATTAGATTAATACACCGTTTATTATAATAGAATGAGATTAATTCCAACAATCAGGAGCTGCACCACCGCATCGTGACTTAGTTATTTTTGAAATCTAGTTAGTTACATTTTTATCATAGTTGTGTATACATAGGATTTTAATTGAATAAAAGTAATTAAAACGGTACCTTTTCTTCCAAATTCCTCCTGTTGTGTGGATTTGAGGATACTGACATCTTTGTTTTCTAAATTCCCAGGTACATCATTTGTAGGGAAAGCATCAGTCACGTTGACTTCTCCGCTGGGGTCTTCCTTGCTTTTCAAGCTTTCTTCTTTTTCATGCATATGATTGTTTGACGGCTTTTGATTTGGACTGACTGCAGAAACAACATGCTGCAAAGTGGAAATAATTCTCTCTTGTTCGGCTGTTTTAGTCTTTAGGCTTTGAATGCGATTTTCCTGGTATCGAAGAGTGAGTTTAAAATCATTCTGGAGTTTTGAAATTCGAGTTAGATAATCCTTTTTAATAGCCGTAAGAATAGTTTTTAACTGCACTGTTGTAATTGTATGACCGTCTGGAGTATTTAAAAGTTCGTGGACTGCATCCTCTTGAAAAATATGGTAATTTTTCTTAATTGACTTCAATCCAAAACAAATCAGAAATGGGAGAAAAGAAAGTTGTAAAATGCAAAGTAGCATATTTCCGAGGTGGTGTACCTCCTAAATCTTCTTATCATAATATAAGATTATCTAATGTGCCAGAAATATAAGCATAACGTCGCAGTAGGTCACTTGCATAAGAAATTCACATATATTTCTCATTGTCATTTCTCTATTTCATTGTTTTATACAATTGGGAAGTGAAGGCAATAAATATAATTTTTGATTATTATGATACCATGACGCTACCAGTATTGCATAACACTTTCAAATTATTGATTATTAGGATTACAAATTTTGATTAATTGTTCCGTAGTCTGACACTAGGTATTTTGCATCGAATCTTGTATAGTGTTGTATTGTCTAAAAAATTCAAAGTTATTTCAACAGTCGCGGTTTATTTGTTTTATTTATTTTTGTCAGGATATATCAGGTCCATTCAAATTTTAGTATTTGAAATAAAAAATCTCCATTATTAGTAATTATTATTCCTTTGTGTATCTTCACATGGTAAAACAATCAAAGTATTAAGGTTATAATTTTTTGAAAAATTATTTAAAATTAAAAATGAGAATTAACATGAACCAACTTTGCAACTTCAGGTTTTTTTTAGATTGTTTAAAGTAAGGAACTAAATAACACCTCTTAAGATTCTGAAAATCAGTCTGTAAATAGAAATACTTATGAAAATATTCCAGAAAAAATTACAATGAAAAAGTTGAAGATAACGAACAGTGATTGATCTAAAAAATTATATGGCTTCAAAATTTTAAATTTTGATTTCTTTTTATCATCTGCATTATAAAAAAAATTCAGAAAAGAAAGTTTATACTGTTATGTCTTATTTGTATACTCGTATATACAGTGTATATCAATACAATTTTTATTTACCTTTCCTGCAAATCACTGGTTGGGGTATATTTTCTAGTGGTAGTTTTTTTATTTCGTACAAATTAAGAGATGTATGTTTTATGCCGGTACTTCTAGAGGTCCGGTGGCTGGTCTCCAGTTCTCCAACTTGTGTACAAGTGGTATCGTGGGACATATCTGCACCGTCATGTTTAAGTTTGATGATCATCTTCACTTGCTCTACAACTTTATTTTCGAGAATATTCAAAAGATTAACTTGTTCTTACATTTGGCGTTGGAATTCTCTCTGCATCTTTTTAGTTTCAAAGCAAAAGTATGCATATCTTCTTTTGAAATAAATTTCTCACTGAATAATATTTCCATCAGACTAAACTTGTCTTTTAATGGATCTGTATGCCAAAAATACCCACTTTCAAAAGAGTCTTGTTCAGTACAGTGCAAAATAAAAAGAAAACGAAATGCTTCCATTTTGATTTGAAGTTTTCCTAAATTTCTTATCTTTTATTTCTAAACACAACATTCAATGATCAAGAAGTAGACCGTTTTATAATAAGTTAACATAAGGAAAACATGTAAGAATCACAATCTGTATATGAAAGAATATGCCAATTTTTGACTTTCAAAAACAACTAACTTTCCGTAAACAACAAGAAGAATTCTTGACTATAAAACATTGGACAGCCTTTCCCTATAGATGAAATGACCATATCAATAGTGTTGGAAATCTTTCAAGTCCACAGTGTCACAATGTAAATTAAATGGGACTTTTTAACCATACACAGAGACGTAAGCCTAGTCATGGGCATCGGTCTTACAATAAACCTTTAATACACTATATATTTTATATATTTTGACTCATAACTACCGTATGCAAATCAACAATTAGGTCTACATCATATTCGCATCAATTTTACTCCGTCCCTTTGAAACTTAAATAGTCTTTTTAAAAAGGTCAAGGAGAGTCCATTTTTAACTCCTCGACTGCGGAATATGGACTCGGATCTGAGATTATGGGTTTTGCAAATAATAGACTTTTTCATAGCCATGCCATTCTCTGTAACCACTTAAACTTCGTTGCCACGCATGGTCACCGATTTTGATGAAACTTCACCCATGCTAAGTACTTGACACCAGAAACAAATATCAAAAAAAATTTCGTTGCTATGTGTCTCGGTTGCTATGGCAACAGCCGGAAAAGTTTGAAAAATCGAGATTTTCATCCACTTTAAATCTTGACTGTAGCTTAATAAAAACTAGAAAAAGCAAACAAACCATTCTCACAAATACATGACACCTTGATGTCACTTATACTCTAAAGAAACTTTTTAGAATATATCTCTAAGTAAGTGGTAACCAAGGGTACATTTGGAATGCATTTAAAATGCTGAAATATGCTGAAAAACACTCCGTATTCACTAATGGTAAGTGTTTCATGCTCAAACTCAATCAACGACTTAAGAAAAACAACGGAAATGTTTGACCTTAAGTATATAAGTATAAGCAATATTATTCTATAAATAACTTTTATGGTTGCCATGGTAACACAGTGTAACCATGCAAAACCAGTAACTAAGATTGGGCTCATGCTACTCTCTTCAGGAAAAACATGAAAATTCAAGACTGGCAAATATGCATCCTTAGGACCTTGCAACACCAAAACCACAAGAAAAACTTGGTATAATTGCTTCTTTGCAGTGTTACCATGGAAACAAAAAACCAGTGCTTAAAAGTGAATTATTTTTCGCTGCATTAAGAATTAAATTGCCATTTAATCAAGAAACAAATTAATGGACTCAGCTTGAATAGTACTTATCTGTTAGAACTGGAGTTGAATATCATATATTGATAAAATTTGATGAATAAAACAACACTGTTGCTATGGTTACCAAGAAGGGAAAATGTTCGATTTTGTGAACTTTGTATCAATACTAAACCCTGTGTGCCAACTTCTTGCATCCCTTTAGAGATTGGATGATAGTCAAAATTAAGGATAAATAACACAAACAAACTTTTTTCAGAAATTAGCATTATTTTCCATAGATTTACATTTAAATTGGTAAGCTGAATAATGTTTACCTAGTAAAGTGGACGAATTATATAAGATTTTGTCATAAGGTTAAAACTTTGTGCAAAATTTTGTATGGAATTAAATAGAGAGCAAAAGAAAGTCTCATATCTACGCACCAAGGAAAACCTACGATTTCTTTATATTTCGGGGATTTATTATTTGTCAGTTCAAATCAAAATCAGTCAAAACATATATATCAACCCGTGCATCCATTTTTTGTTTGTGGTAAGTACCCTTAAAAGTCAAGTTAGCTGTTAATAAATATCAATCATAAAAGTTTTGGGAATCTACATTTAAGGGTACGTATCCAAGGAAAGAAAATATTTTTCAGGTTTTTAAGCATATATTTTCTGCTTATTTCCATAGCAACGCTCTATTTAAAGAATCTAATCTGAATTTTTTCAAATGGGAAAACTTGGAGCACACCAATATCTTATAAAATTGATCATTAGTTATGAGGAAATGTGCTTTTTTTTTAAAGATAGGATCAGATTTAAACATACAGCGTGTTACTTTGAAGGCTCTCTGTGGTATAAAAACCTTGGCAACCATTGCCAACCAAAATGAAATATCATAGTTTGTTCTTGGTGTATGTTTCAAGGCGCTTTTTTCTATTATTTGGTCACATTTAATCCTATAATTGCTTTTTATTTTTACATGTATGACTTAATAAAATTCAATGAATTTTTCTTTTACTTTTGAATATTTCGTTACCATAGTAACATATATAATAGTTGATTTACCAAACATGTTTATCATGCATTTGAGACATCTGACCTTCAACTTTTGGAAACAGTCATTGCAAATTGTTTGCTTTGCCGCAAATGTTAACTATGGGGCTCTAAACATGTTAAAAAATGCCATTTTTCGAACTTTAAGACATGTTGCCATGGTAAGCATAAAACATAGCAACCAATTTTTGCCTGATTTCAGTTTAGGGTATCAATGACTTTTATCCTAGAAAGTTTGGAGAAATTCTGAGACTATGCGTGCCAAAGCTCCTATATAAAATTTCAAATCATCACAGAGAATGGCTCAAAAAACCCCACGTTTTACTGAAAAAAATGCAGATAAAACCACAGCCTTTTCCTAAACTTCAATATGCCAACAAAAGTATTGGCACGGTTAATATAAGTACATGTAATATCCTTTACATGTACAACAAAAGGGTTCAGTCTTGCATTCCACCAAATTTCAAGTCAGAAACTACACCTTGTATTTCCTATAAATATACATCAACTATTGCTTCCAGACCTTTTAATTAAAAGCAAACTTAACAGGGCTTAAATATCGATGATCTGAAACATAATTCTGCATCGTGTTCATGTTCTACTTCACGCTACAACTATGGTCCTGCTGAGCACGTTATTACAAGTGATGTAAATATAGTTCATAATGAGAACTGTCGATCACTAATCTTAAAAGGTTCTAAATATAGGGAACCTCGATCTTTTAACTGCCGTCGGAATGTTACAAATATTATGGATTTTGTTGAGGATTACGCCAGGCGATTGGTCAGATATGACATATACTTTGTGTGCGTTTTTTTTTGGACAAAAACTGATTAAGATGCCGGTTTCCTTGGAGTCCAATGAGTCACCTACCGATCCAGTAAATTTCACCACTGACCTATTCATTTGGAGCCCAAAACACAGCACTTAAATTTAGTTCAATGATGCTAAATAAAGAATCTACCAAGATACAAAATTACTATATGTAATTCACAAAATTTTTTTCTCATAATTTTCCATTTAATATTATATAGATCCATGTTTATAATGACTTGCTTATTACA